ATCACAAACGATTAAACACCTGGTAGAAACGATTATGCCGACAACATCATCCCGCTCCCTAATGTCATGGCCTTACTCTGGCCTGGGTCGTCACCTATATCAATCGCGCGCGACCCAACCGTTGAACCACCCAACAAGGAGGAAGAGGAAGATCTCACCAAATTAAACACATTTCAAATCTGAATTTGCTTGATAAATAAAAGTTTTAGAATCAAATATGGCAGACAACTTTTTCAAAAATTAAGTAAAATGGTTTTTGATGTGTCAATTTTTTAACAAATAATTTTCAAACATTTTTATCCGATAAATGACCTGCTTACTAGGTTTTACTTAATTTTTTTAAAATTTTATTTTAATAAAATTTATTTTGAGATATGTTAGTATGTTACCCACCACATGAATAAATTTTGTACCCTCAATTCTGATTGGTTGAAAAAAATACGGGATGGTTCAGTATAAATGAGCTACAGGATTCTAGAAAAATTCTAGATATATATATATATACGTATTTATATAAATTTTAAACACCATGTAATTAATAGTGCAAGAAAATTGTCATTTGGAGAGGGAAAAAAACTATGATACATGATTTTATTTGGAAACATATTACCATTTTTATTTCATTAACATATGCAAGTTCAGCAAAGTAACTAAAACATTTGGCACAATAACATACCTAGTAAAAAGTGAAATATGTTTGTCAATCGGAATATTAATCTTCACCAACTCAAGTTGTTAGAACTTGGTTGGTGACAAATCAAATTGGTTAACTAAGTTGGTAACTATCCAAATGACAAAAGGCTCTACTTTTTCTATATGAAGCCCAAAAAATTTAAGGAGTAATAAGAAAAATTTAAATGGAAAAATATATATTCGTGATTTTTGGTTTTGTTTGTTTTTGTTCCTTTCGTCGATTGATCTCCTTATACGTGTAGCTTAGTAATTAGGCACCACAGACTAGTGTCATCATCTCCAATCTATTTGTTGGCACTTAATGTCATACATGCATGGTAGCTGATAATTACAATAGAGTAAATCAATATGAACGTGCAATTATTATAATAAAATTGAACTACTATAATGAACAAAAAGATTTATACAACCAACAACAAACTCTATGAAACTATCATTTTATAAAAATCATAATCCAGATGTTTTCTTTAAGAAATCATATGTTTAAGTTAAATTGGATAGGTGAGATTGATTAAAAAGAATACTACATAGTTGACCTTAAAGAAAAAATCAACCTTTCCATCTAAATAAGTTTTGTGATAGCACTTGTTTTATGAATGTTGTTTCTGCCATAACCTGTAAAACTTGAAAAAAATTAGAGAAATAATAATAATAATTTTAGGAAGAAAATCAATATGAGGGAACCGTACATGACGCGAAGGGAAGGAGGAGAAAAACTCACACTAATTTACAGTGATACGAGGTATCTTTTCCTTATCAAATGGTCTGATTCACACGTGGTGTAACCAAATCCTTACATGATCAACTCCATGATTTTAGGTTTCGTATTCACTTCCTAAGGTAATGATTTTCAAAAATCAAATGTGTGTATATCGAAGATAAGATCGTACCTCCAGGAAATTAATTGGCTTCTATAATTGGTAAAGTTTGAATCAAATATATATTAACTGTAGAAATTTTCTCTCGATCATTCACCCTAATTGTGGCAATTATGGTAATGAATAATATTTGAATTTGAAAATAAATTTTTAATGCTCAAAATTGTAAATTTATTCATTATCATTATGACCAGATCATGTAGTCTAAATTTTCCTGGTGATGACCAATTAGGAATTAAGGTAATATTAAATGGTAATTGCAGGATTGAGTTAATTATGTCGTCAATTATGATTGATATCATTGTATCTTTCAATTAATGGTTATTCCATACATTAATGCTCATTAGTACCGTTCATTTAATTTGATTAATTCCCATTTTTCTATTTTGAACTAATGTTTTAAATGCGAATTGATAAAACTTTATTTACAGGAAATTTGAACGACTATTAGTATAATTGTTGTAAATATTTTTTGAGTCAAGCATTAGAAAAATGATATGTAGGATTTTATCCTATGCAAGACCTTTAGAAATCCTTTTTGTTTTCTCTCTCTAGTTTGTTTCTTAGTATAATACTACAGATAGATGTGATTTTAATCTCTTTTATATGAACTAAAAATGATATCTTTTTAAAGAGAAAATCCTCTCTTATTGGCATGTGAGTATCGCCCTTTTGTTTAGGTAGGAGTTTCATATCTCCCTCTTTTTGTCTAGGCAGGAGTTTCATATCGCTCTTTTGTTCATTTCAATGAACAAAAAAAAAAATTAAAAAAATAAAATTCAATAACTTTCAATAAATAAAGAAATTAAAATTTCTCAAAATCCAAAATGGTTTTTGTAATCTGTAAGAAATGGACATCATTCATAATTTCATGCCTTCAGTGAAGAAATTAGTTTGGTCACCCAATTCCTATAAGAAATAAAACTCAATTCTTAAAGAAATATGTGAAAAAGGTGTTGAGAATAATATTAAGATATGTGATGACAGTAAAATATATACACTTTTAGCAGACATTTTCTACTCATTTTTACTTAGAATTAGGTGTCAATTAATTAGAATTCGTTTACTTTTGAGTTGATTTTGTATTTCAGGGTAATCAATGGGCCAATCTAGAAAATCAGCATAAATGAAGGCCAAATTGCACAAAAGAATATCATTCTGGACTGAAATAGAAGCTGCTGGTAATCAGACTCTTAAAAGGTCGATCAGAGCTGGAGCAATTGGAGTAATCCTTACTGAGGAAGGAAGAATGGCAGCAGATGATCACAATTGGAAAGAATCTGCAGCAGCACACTCCATTGAGAAGAAGGGCAGCTGTTGCTGTTCTGCTGCCAAGTTGCTGATGCAGTAGCCGTTGCTGCTGTCAATCAAATAGAAGTCACGAGCTGAAATCTTGGTGCCCAAGGAAGAAGATTTCTTTGCCATCACTGCATGTTGTTGCTGCTGTAAGTGGAAGAAGAGAAAGTGGGAAAATATGTGAAAAATAGCAGCTGCAACTCTGCTACTTACCAACTGATGCTACTGCTGAGTTGATGGATTGGCTACAGCAGAAGGGTGAGCAATGGTCTAGCAAGTGACCCCGGAAACAAGGAAGAAAAAGCAAAGATTGAGGCTAGATTGGGACTTGGAAACACAATGATGGAAGGAAGCATGCTGCTGATGTTGCTGCTTACTGACTGCTGCAAATTGAGCTATGGAGATTAAAGAATGAAGAAATGGAGATTTGTGGCTACAAATGGTGAGAATGCACCGGAGAAGAAGACTAAGCAGAAGCAACAATGATGAGTTGAAAGTGACTGATTGTTGCTGAAGAAGGAAGGACCTGACTAGAGAAGACAACAACTTGCCAATTGGGCAAGTTGCTGAATAAACAAATGCCTTCAGTTGTTGCAACTTGTTGTCTCCTCCAATCTGTTGCAAGGAAGGCCAAAAATTTACCAATCCAACCCTCTCCAAATCTCTGTAAATAGTCAGCCAATAGCAGTATTTAAAGTATGAACATATTAGGTAGTTAGAATCAGTTATAAAAATAGTAGTTAGGTAGTAGTTAGTTGGTTTGAAACAGGGTAGTAGCAGGAATAGGAGTACAGACTGTCACTCTGTCAAGTGGCGAATGCCACTCGCCTAAGTGAGCAGACAGTGACTGCCCTACTACCATCTTCCCCTTCTATCCTCTAACCTTTTGATCTTGAATTATGTCTTATCTTTTGCACTTAGTCACTCTCATGTTTAACTCAATAAACATGAGTAGCTAACTCAGTTGAGAGTTCAATCCCTACTATTTTTATGTAAAGGTTTTGATTCAGTTTTTCTTGATGGGGCATTATTTCTAGTTTAAGTGTTTTAATTAACCTTTTGATTAAACTGACCACTTAATTAAATGTGTGTGTATGTTATGGCTGAGAGGGTAAACATAACTAAAACGGCTTAAATTAGTCTATGGCAAAGGAGGAAATCTACCCTTTGATTTCAATCATCAACGAGAGTTAGGTGATTGGTATAGGTGATCAAAAGGGCTTAAGAACTCAATGGTCTAGGTTAATCTCAATAATTTGACTGAGAGGTAGGTAATTTGGTAATCTAGGACTCTTTACTCTGTCTGAGAGGAATTGTAAAGAATACATGTGCCCGATCAAATAATAAATCATACACTACAGAATTACTTGAATCAAAACTGGATCATAAAGATGGGAATGTGATTGACCATTCTACATCTTCACTCTGTCAAGTGACTATTCTCACTCTCCCATGCGACAAATCTGTTCATCTCTTTTACTTTCTTTTTCTTGTACTTTAATCAGATTTTGAGTGGTTGACTGCCGTCTCTGTTGAACGACCCTGCTTACCACTAGCTAATAGTTTTAAGTAGGTCTTATAAATATTCTCTTGGGGTTGAAATCAACGACAATCCAATTTTAAACCACCAATATGCTCAAGTTCCATTGTCCCACATTGGAGTTGGGATGCCAACTTGATCAACATATATATCCCATGTGTTACTCCCCTCATTACCAATTGGTTTTAAGGTGGAACCACATGTGGACCTATATTTGGAACTTCAAGAAAAGGTAATATGAGAAAAAATATTTTGAGTTAATAACATTTAAAAAATATTTTAATAATGACCCAGAAGATATATGAAATTTTTTTTTTTTGAAACTGGGTAAAAAGGTTATTGAGTTGCTCGTTTTCTGGTCGGTTTTTTTTTTTTTTTTTTTGAAAAAGTGTTTTCTGGTCGTTAGAGCCTTTGAGGTTCCTTTTGTTCATAAATTTTTGTTCATTTTTTTAGTAGGATTTGTCATTTTAAGAAAAAAACGAGGGAAAAAATGAGATTTGATGATAGTTAGTGGGCAAATGTCCGTATCCCCAAATTTCTCAATCATCCGTATATCTTCCTAATCAAAATGGGAATCAGTTGTCCAGCATTAACTGCTAAAAACAGCTACATTTTCTACTGTACTCGTTTTAGTAAGTTCACTCATTCACTCAATACTTCCAGAGACAGAGAGACGGGTAAAGATTTTTATGGATTCTTTCCCAAACGAACAGAATCTGCCAACATAATTACAAATCAAATACGCCATAAAAAGCATCACAAAGATTGGATCACAGCTATATTTTTCATCCCAGTCCGTGATCCCTTCAGTCGGTGCTTTCACTTTTTCTGATTTCATTGCTCAAAAGGGCCTCGCCAAGTTCCCGTTTTTTTGTTGCTCTGAGTCCCCAACTCCCCCAGGTAATCTTGTTTGCTCTTAAAATCTTTTGGGTTTTTCTTCCTCTGTACTCAATTTTGCAAGAATGCGAAATTCCCCGTGTTTATTGGTTCTACCCAGTAAGTTCAAATGGGCTGGTGATTGTGTCTGTATAGATTGTAAGCTTACATTTGGAAATTTTGCATACCTTTGGCGTTTTTCTGGGTGGAATGTGGGATGTGACTCGGAAAGGGATTGTGGGTTATTTTTACAGCTAAAATGGTTCTTGTGTGATTGTGGGGTTTTTGCTAATTCTTTGAGCTTATTGGTAGGTGTATTCAGCTGGGAACATGGCCATTCCTGTAGTGTTACTGTTACTTTTAGATGACTGGCTTGTTATTTTTGTTATGTTTAACCGCGTCTAACATGCCTCAATTCTATCAGGGGAAGAATATTCTGGGATCCTAGATTTTATCAGATGTTCTCCAATCGGAATCTGTTTACAAAAGGATTGCTAGCTTATAATTTATTTTACAGCTTCCCTGTAAATTTTCCAGTGTAAATCCATCTTTTAGGTTGTACTGCTTGGTTACCCAGCAGGAATACTTTGTCATATAGACTAATTATAGTGTTCTTTGTCAAGCTTTCTGGATTTTTCTGAATCTGCGACACGCCAAAACCTATTGAATTTGAAAAAAGATCCTGCCTTCGGGAGATTCTAGTCTGAGTGTTCGTCATTTTTTGTGTGTTTCATATGATTTCTCTTCATTACTGTTTAGTAATGGCTAGGCTGTGGAAGGGCTTTTTGGCTTTATAGGGAGTGTTACTTGTTAGTTGGGTTCCGGTTGCTTCAATGTGATTCATCTGTCTCCAAGATTGATGTTTCCTTCAACCTATTGTAATGTTTTAGTATGCGATTCAAAAGTACTGCCTTTCTTATCAAATCACAAGCTGGCAGTTTCTGTTCTATGGTTCAATTGCAGAATAATTTTTTCTTCCCCTACCTTTATTGATGAATAAAGTTTTACATTGATTCACTGGTGAAATGAAATCTTTTGATTCCTTTTTAGCCTCTTTTGATCTTTCTTTTGGTCTTTCCTGTTTAGGTTTTCATTTTGGTGGCTAAAAAGGATGGGAAAGTACATGCTAGCTCTTCATCTCTGGCTGATCGAGATTTGAAACTATGATCTCGAAAATTATTAGTTTATCCATGTTGTTGGTGCTTAATGTTGGCCTTGCTGGAGTTCGATATTATGTCCGCAAAGGCTAAAGCTTTTCTGAACTTTTTTAATATTGGTTCACTTAGTTACCAAGGCGGGACACTGCATTTTGTTATTTTATTGATGCCATAGTGTATCACAGTCTTTCAGTTTACAGAAATATTTCAACAATGGATAAGGAAGTGTCATATCAAAGGGAAGATGTAAATGTCATGATTTCTTCACCTGGTGAGATGGGAGGGCCAGCTTGTAGGGTGTGCCAATGTACAGAAAGTGATAAAATGGGGGATGCTGTATTAGGTTTCTTGGGCATTCTTTCACCATCAATGGATGGGCACTGTTGCAACCAGGCCATGAAGCTTGAAGATGAAAATGCTTCACAAGATCGTGAAAAGGACTCATATAGCAGAAATGTAAAGAAAAAATCTGAAGTTGTTGAATTTGTTAGTCCCAAAGGGGAGGTTTTTATCTGTAACGCTGATGTTGAAATGGGGTACGCTGAGAGTGAAGACAAACTTTTGGAACTTGGTTGTTCTTGCAAAAATGACCTTGCTCTAGTTCACTATGCATGTGCCCTTAAGTGGTTTGTAAACCATGGATCAACAGTTTGCGAGATCTGTGGTTGTGTTGCAAGCAATATTAGTACTTCAGATATCAAGAAAGTTAAGAATGCTTTGAAGGAATATGAAGCACTGAGGCAAAAAACAGTGAATGGCGTACCTATTCATGCACAAGTACAACGGAATTCAGGTGTGGATCCTGATGCTGTGGCTGCTATTCGAAGACTACGGCTTAGTGAAATCTCATTATGGTTTAATCCTAATAATAACTTGTCATCGTCACTTGTCCATGGTGTCAATGAGCAATCTTCTACTTCCAGTCCTGGGGCGGAAGAACTTGTATCCAATGAGAATACTGCAGCCAAGTGGGTTGTTGAGGGTACTGGAATTCTTCTGGCAACTGGATTGCTGACTGTTACCCTGGCATGGCTCATTGCTCCTCATGTAGGAAAGGTAATTATTTTTGGTTTTCGTCTCTGGATTCATGAAGTAAAGCTTTCTTCTTGAATTTTTATGCACTTTTTATGTGAAACTTTCTGTGCTTTTGCCAAGTTCATTTGAAGCATCCTTATGGAGAATCAGATCTTACTTTCATTTTGTTAATATGTCAATTTGTTTCCTTAAATTTTTTCAATGATTTTGTTGGATATTCTTCCAAATATTTAGGAAAATGGAAAAAAAAGTGGTTGTTTGTAGGATCCGATATTTTTTATTTACTCTTTTCTTAATGAGGTGAAAATAGAATCTTAGGCTCTCTTCCTATATAACATAAGTACCAGCAATGTGAGAATGAATGTTGAAAATATCATGTTCAAGTATACCTAATTGATGTGTCAAAACTTCTTGCTCCTCTTTTACAGCACCTTGCACATTTATCGAGTTCATTTAGGATTTTTAGCAAGCATTCTCTTTTCTGTTTGGACTCTGTGGTCCTTCAACTAATTTGATGAGCGCCTTTGGTGTTTGACCATAACAAAACTTGTCATAGAGGATGTAGCTTCTGAGAAATGAAGTTTGCTTGCATTTACGCAAAGGTTTGTTACAAGGAAACCTTAGACATCATGTACGCAAAAGTTCTTTATTGATGTTTGGAGTCTTATATCTTCTAGCTTTTCTTAGATTGCTTTCTGGTTCACTCTTTTTTAGATTCTTATTATGATTATAAATACGGTTTCCAACACTAATTTGGGGCTGCTGAACTAACGGAACCTCTGTTAAGTTTATCTAAATCCATTTTATCTCCTTGTGGTTTCTTTCAATTTCTGCTCAAGTTAATTAGATGTCTATTTCTTTATCCATTTTCATAGCTCTTTCAAAATTGCAAAGGTTTTTTCATTTTCTTTTATTCTATTTTTGTTTACCATGGCCTAAAACTTGCCTTGCCTGATAACATGGGTTTACTATGGAGTTCTCAGTGATCATTGAACTTATGGAAGGAGAGAGCTTCAAAGTTTCAAATGCACTCGCTAAAAAAGACCCATTACTGCTTCTGTACTTAGTTATGGAGTTTAATACTTTTGCCTCAATGAAAATTCGTAACTTACAAAATTCTATCTTATCTGCAGCGAACAGCAAAAAATGGTCTGCATATACTTCTCGGAGGCGTTTGTGCTTTAGCAGTTGTTATCTTCTTTCGCTTTGTAAGTTATATCATGTACTTTGGCCTTTTCTATTCTGTCACATGCATTTCCAGTCCTTGTCTGATTTCAGTTGTGTGGAAAGCTACGTGAGTATGCGCTTTGAGAAAGCTTATTATGCTTACCGCTGATGACCTGCCATCGATAATATGTTGTACCTGAACCCAAACCTGCTAAATTGGCAAGCAAAAAATTACTGAAGTGAGTTAGTTTAATGTTACGCTGTAAAATCTTTGGTTGGCTACATAATACTTGAATTGTAATAGTTTTGAACTGATAATTTCTTGCTAAATCCTTGAGCTGAGGAAACGGGTTGTTTATAGAGTTAACTTTGCTACTCTTTGTAAAGTATTTAAAACCAAAAAAAAGAGTTTTTATGGAGGAAACTAGGTGCTTAAAATACATGATTAACTTTGTCACTGTTCGTGAAAGTATTTAAAACCAGAAAGGAGCGTTTATTTTATAAGAGTAAAGCACCGCAAGTGATCATTCACCACTTTGAGTCAAAAGCAGGAATGGATTCTTAACCATTGAAGGGCTGTACATTTGAGTGGTTCAATTTATGTTCAAATGGCATTCCACTTTAAGCTTGATTTGTGCTATATATATATATATGCATTGTCGTTGGAGCCATTTAAACTTTCTGGAAATGATATAAAACCCATGATGAGGTTGATGAAAGAAGCCAATGTGAATGATTGGATTGAAAAATTGACCATTCTTCATTTTGTTTGCCTTTAGATATAAATAAACACTTACGTGACCAGATCTGTAGCATTATCAACTTTGTGATTACATACTGCGAGTGATTAAGTTTATGTTGTTTTCTTGATGCTCTTTTGACCTAACTTCCATTATTTTTCCATATGTGTGTAGTTTGTGCTGACAAGAATCAAGTACGGACCAGCACGTTATTGGGCAATCTTGTTTGTATTTTGGTTTCTTGTATTTGGTATATGGGCTTCAAGAGCGCATGGCGCCCATTCAACATGACCTGTTTGTAATCTATTTTTCCATTATCGTGGAATTCTAATACTGCAGAGTGCAGAGATAGTTGGTTTTCCTTTTTCCTGTGGAGTATGGTATATTGCTCTTCAGGAAGTAGCTAGGCATATATATTCAATTTGATCGCTCGGGGAAGGTACAATTTGTAGGTAGTGTTGGCTGCTATATTCTATTATATATTTAGTGAAATAACTTATCAGAAATGTCATGAAGTTGTTATTGGTATTTCCCATGTTTCTTTCAGAGCCAATTTACTTGGGAATGATCAAAACTGTTTGGTGGTGAAATTTGAGTAGAATTCCCAGCTAGTAGTTGCCTTTGTTTTCTCGCTTTTTGGAGAATGATGTCCATGCTTTCCTTCTCAAAATGTGCTGTTGGGTGAATGATATTCTGGGTTAGCACTCGTTTTAAACTTCCATCTCCATTTCATCTCAACAATCTTCTTAGTGCCACTGGTGCCTGACGATCAACGGGTTGTTGGTGGAACCTTTTCACATTTTATGAAACTATCCTCGCAGCATTTCAAAGGTTACAGTAAAATTATCTTTTCAATTGCTTTCCAACTCTTGAACGAAAAAACAAAACCAAAGCAGTACGTGATGGATGAAAATGATTTTACTGCTTATACAAATCCAATCCAAGCCTACTATTTAACAGTCCTTTTGACCTCCACTAATTTGTTACAACCTTTTGAAAACAATCTAAGTTAGAATAATGAAAATAAACTAAATTTGAATAATCATATTAGATTTAATGGAGAGCCAAACAAAAGGAATTGGGTGAACTTGGCAAAAGCTCTTCTCTTTCCTCTCTCTCGGCACACGTTGCTAGTGCGCCAACCATGATGGGTCGAAAGAAGAAAGGGAGTGAGATCTGAAGTTCATACAGGAGATGAAACCATTAAAAAGGGTGTTTTTTGAGCATTGAGGAAGGATCTATGGCTAAGGGCTCTGGGAAGAAAGTGGTGGTCAGACAGGGTGAGGAACTTGACAAGTTAGTCGCTGCAATGAAAGGGGCTCCATCGAACAATCGGTCAATTCCTAAGACAAAGGAATAGTTGGTCACTCCCATGGTGGGAACAAGTGGTGAGAAAGTGTTAACCCAAGAAGCCCCAATTGATGGAGGATGTATTGGAAGCGTACAGAGTGTCGAGGATTCTAGGGTTTGGGGGAAAAAATACCAAACGGCAACTCCTGTAGTCTGAAAAGATGGAGGGCGAGGCTGAGAAAAAGGTGTGGGAGCATTTCGATTTGGAGAAGCAACGCACCCCCTCTGGCAAGCTTAATTTCTTTCTTCTAAGGAACAGTGATGGACTGAAGGTCGGGAAGATCCAAGAAGAGTATGTGAAAGCTGAGGAGGAGTTCTGGAATTCATCAGTGGTTTATTTTGTATTGGGATCCAACCCTGCATTCTGGGTGACGGATAATTATATCCGACGGAGATGGGGTCGATTTGGCATCGACAAAGTAATCCTATTGCCCAGTGGCCTTTTTGTTGTTCGTTTTCATACTTTGCATACTAGAGAAGAGGTATTGAAGATAAATATTCAGCGATTTAGTTCTAGACCTCTGATAGTTAAGCTCGGAATGTTGAGTTGGGAGTTCATTATAAACAAGTGAACAAGATCCAAGTTTAGATATAGTTACATGGTCTAGAGCTTAAATACTGGAATTTAAATACGTTAGGTATACTTGCAAGTATCATTGGAAATCCTTTAACTGCTGATGAATGCACTGTTAACAAGTCAAGAGTTCAATATGCCAGATTGTTGGTGGAAATGGAAATAAGTGAAGTAGTGGCGGATAAGATAGTATATGAAGATGAAAAGGGAATGATTAAAGTGCAAAAAGTAATCTATGAATGGCTACCTGCCAAATGCTGTCACTGCAAAGGCTATGGTCATCTGACAGAGGTGTGTAAGAAGAAGACTGAAAAGATAGAGAAGAGACCTAAAGTGCCACAGACTGAATGGAAGAAAACAGAAAGAGTGAAGGCACAGGAGGGTAACCCTGGTAATTCAGTTGGGGTCACAGTTACTAAGGGGGTTTTTGCTGAGAATCCTTCTAAGGAGGGAACTCAAAAAGGGATCATGTCTCAGGACTACCATCTGATTGCCAGTGAAAGCTCTAAAGTAATGGGAAATACTGGGAAAAGAGACAACAACCAAGTCATCAAAGGTACTAAGGAAGTAGCTGTTGTGCAGTCTCCAAGTGAGATAGCCAAAAAAATTACTACACACTCTGATGACAAGGTTAATATGGTGGAAACAAATTATGGGAGAATAATTTCACTTGTTAAGTCTAGTGGAAACAAAAATGGTGGAATCCCGGGGAAATGAGTATTTGTTGAAAGACTGGAAAGGACGGAATTGGGTCACAAATTATGGGAGTAATAACAGAGGGAGGATTATGGTGATTTGGGATGATAGTTTAGACTTGGTGCAGTTGCAGCAGTCTTCACAGTTCATACATTGTCAGGACAGTTTCAAAAAAGATAATAGTTCCTTCTTTTTGACATGTGTCTATGCATCAAATGAAATAGAGGAAAGGGAGCTGCTATAGGAGGATTTAAAGAGGTTGGCAGTGAACAAAAACAGCTCATGGATTGTCATGAGAGACATTAACAACATTCGAAGAGTTGAGGAAAAATTTGGAGGTAGACCAGTGGTGGTTCAAGATATAGAATCATCCCAATGGTGTCTTGATGATTGTGGATTGAGTGAGTTGAGGCAAGTTGGGAAAGTGTATACGTGGTGTAACCAAAGGATGAGATGTGACAGAATTTATGCTTAGCTGGATCGGGTTCTGGCTAATGGGGACTGGATGGATTATTATTCAGATGCTCTAGTTTATGAGCAGATAGAGGGATTATCAGATCATTCCCCTCTTGAAGTTCAAGTATTTGGAGCTCCTCAGAAAATAGCTAGACCATTCAGGTATTTTAATATTTAGTGTTACTCCCCGCAATTCCTGATTATTGTTAACACAAGATGGGAATGTCCTGTTAATGGGACTAAGATGTTTCAAGTCTGCACCAAAATGAAGAGGCTTAAACCACTCTTGAAGAAGCTGAACAGGGACCAATTTGCATATTTAGTGGAAAGGGCTAATAGGGATCAAATTTACTTGAAGGGACAGCAGGAAGCACTGAGTAGGGATCCCTCTAATGTGGTCCTGCAAGCAAATGAAAGAGAAGCAGTAAAGCAGTATGTGGAATCTAGTAAGGCTGCGAATTGTTTTTTGCAACAGAAGGCCAAGAAACAATGGCTGCTAAAGGGGATGAGAATATAAAGTATTTTCACTCCCTGTTAAAGGCTAGAACCATGCAGAATCGAATATGGAGTATTACTAAGGATTCTGGAGAAGTGGTGCATAAAATGGCAGGAGATTGAAACTCATTTTGTTAACTATTACAAGCAACTGCTGGGTACAGCTTCTGTTAGGGAACCTGCGAAAATGGAGATATTCAAGTTGGGTCCAACTTTGGATGTTCAGCAACAGCTAGGTCTAATTCGGCCAGTGAAGAGGGAAGAAATGAAAGCTGCTATATGGGAAATGAATGCCAACAAAAGTCCTAGACCTGATGGATTTGGTGTTGGCTTCTTTAAAGCTGCTTGGAGTGTGATTGGAGAAGATGTAACTAATGCCATCATGGAATTCTTCGACACAGGTTAGGTCTTAAGCAACTTAACTGTACTTTGTTAGCTTTAATACCAAAAATTGAAGTTCCTTTGAATGCCATGCACTTTCAACCTATAGCTTGCGGCAACGTCATATACAAATGTATTTCTAAAATTCTTTGTAATAGACTGAGGTTAGTTTTGCCTTTGTTAGTTGATGAAAATCAGAGTGCATTTGTAAAGGATAGACTTATATATTGCATAATGTATTAATCACTCAGGAACTTATTAGATTATATAGGAGAAAAGGGGTGAGTGGTAGATTATTGATGAAAGTTGATTTACAAAAGGCATACGATACGGTGGAATTGGGTTTGTCGAAGACAGGCTACTAGGGTTTGGATTCCCAAAACAATTTCGTAGCTGGACATGTGTGACTACACCTACCTTTTCCTTGTCCTTAAATGGTAGTGTTGCTGGTTTCTTTCCTGGTAGGAGAGGTCTTAGAAACGGTGACCCAGTTTCGCCGCTTTTATTTGTCCTTGTGATGGAGTATTTAACCAGAAGTCTTAAGGGAATAGCTAATTCGAAATTTAAATTTCACCCTAAGTGCCGAGTGATGAAACAGACTAACATCTGCTTTGCAGATGATCTTATGATCATCAGCAAAGCGGATGTGTCCACTATTAAGAGAATCATGATGGTTTTCCATGATTTTTCCAATACTACTAGCCTTGTGGCAAATGCACATAAATCTTCTATCTATTTTGGAGGGGTTGGTCAGAAAATGCAAGAGGAGATATGTGATATTACTCAGTTTAGTATTGGTTCTTTCCCTATAAAATACTTAGGTGTTTCTTTGTCTCCTAAGAAATGGTTTTTGTCTCCTAAGAAATGGTCACAACTGGAATGTCAGGAAATTATTTGACGTATTGTGGCTAGGGTTAAGTGTTGGAGTACCCGGCACTTGTCGTATGCTGGAAGGCAATTACTGGTTAACTCTGTTTTTATATCAATGCAATCCTATTGGGGTTCTATCTTTATTCTGCCTCAAGCTGTTACTGATATGGTTAGTAGAGACTGTCGGGATTTTTTATGGGTTATAAAAAGCTTTGGCAGGTATGTTCCTTTGATTAGCTGGGATATTGTTTGCAGGAAGAAAGTAGGTGGATTAGGTATCCGAGATGTCAAACTGTGGAATAAGGCTACAATCATTAAGCAAGTATGGCATTTAGCTGAGCAAAAGAAAGCTTTGTGGGTCAAATGGATCCATGGTATTTATATGAAGCAAACAACCTTTTGGGAGGTTCAGATTAAACCTGATTCTAGCTAGCAGTAGAAGTAGTTACTGAAGTTACGAAAGCAGGTAAAGGATGGGTTTGAAGGAGCAAAATGGAAAGCTGGGAAACAGCGCAAGTACACCATAAGTTCTGGTTATAGGTGACTGGTAGGTGAAGGAGAGCGAAAATCAGAATTTATGTGTGTTTGGGACGGAATGACCATCCCCAAACATAGTTTTATCTCATGGTTGATTTGGAAGAAGAGGATACTTACTAAAGACAGATTGGCCAGGATGCATGTTGACATTCAAGATCCATCTTGTCTGTTATGCAAGACAGAGGTGGAATACATTGACCATTTATTCTTTCATTGCCAATTTGCAGCAGAACTGTTAGAGATGATCAGGAAATGGTTGGGTTATAGGAGACTGTCAACCCAGGGAGATAGATGGAAATAGCAGATTCTGATAGTTTGAAAAGG